TCAGAGCCTCTGACTGTATTCTGTTAGTGCACATTAGCTAATAGAAGGGTAGATAATCCATCCAATTTATAGCCTGGTATATTATATTTCACAGTATTTTAGAATAATATGACAATTATAATCCTGACAGAAATCTCGCAGCAAATCCACAAGTACTAGGATTCATGAGCCTGATAATAAGTAGGTTGAATAATGCTTCAAAAGGTCAGATTAATAACATTTCTGGATTACTTCTAAAGGTAATGAAGCCAACACGTTTCCAAGAATGGAGGTTTTATGTTTAAGAGGAAAATCTGAGCTAGTCAACATGTCAGGGAAAAGACTGTAGGAAGTAAGAAAGCCAATTCCTTCTCCTTCAAACATGCATATACTAATCATTAAGAATTGGCTGGGATCCATTTTAATACTAAAGTCTCAAAACTAAGATGGTACGGTAGAAATGTTAGCAATTAAATTAGTTCATCACTAAGATTCACATTAAATCAAATTAAAAGCAGTTAAATCAGAATGGCCATTTACTTTATTCCCCTGAGCTATCTATAAGCAGGCTCTCTGCAATATGCCCTGGATATAGTTTTCAAATGTGAGTGTATCTATTCAATGAGTGTTCACCTTTCAAAAATTTTCTTTGACTTTTTATTTTCTTAAAAATACCATACCTTATCCTCTCAGCATACCACTGCTTAGTCAACAGTTTTAAAAAAAAAATCACGAATCAAACTAACTTGCTGTGTTTTGAACACTCTTAAGTTGCAAAGGAATCATAAGTAAAACTACTCTATTAGATTGTGAGACTTCCTCCAAAAATGCTCGTCTTGGTTGAGATACTGCAATTGATCTTCTCTTACTGAAAATAATGAAACACAGGGAATGGGGCATGATGGTTCTATCCAACTGATTCAAAGGACTGTGCATGCTGGTCCTACCCAACTCATCCAAAGGACAGTGCATGCTGGTCCTACCCAACACATCCAAAGGACTGTACATGCTGGTCTTACCCAACATATCCAAAGGACTGTGCATGCTGGTCCTACCCAACTCATCCAAAGGACTATGCATGCTGGTCCTACCCAACACATCCAAAGGACTGTGCATGCTGGTCCTACCCAACACATCCAAAGGACTGTGCATGCTGGTCCTACCCAACTCATCCAAAGGACTGTGCATGCTGGCCCTACCCAACACATCCCAAGGACTGTGCATGCTGGTCCTACCCAACACATCCAAAGGACTGTGCATGCTGGTCCTACCCAACTCATCCAAAGGACTGTGCATGCTGGCCCTACCCAACACATCCCAAGGACTGTGCATGCTGGTCCTACCCAACACATCCAAAGGACTGTGCATGCTGGTCCTACCCAACTCATCCAAAGGACTGTGCATGCTGGCCCTACCCAACTCATCCCAAGGACTGTGCATGCTGGTCCTACCCAACTCATCCAAATGACTGTGCAGATTAACCTACAGCAAAAATTCCTTCTTAATACATCTGCCACATGCTACCTTCTCTAAGAAGGCTCTGCCTGACTGGTGAGGAGTGAACTAATCAGTTTGGAGAGTGGAAATCATTTTAAACACTAAACTGATGGTTTAAAAAGCACTTAAATGTTAATGATGACATCCTAACTTGTGAAATGATATAGTATAATATTTATATGCATCCTTTCCATATAAAATGTTCCATAATTGATCAACAGAAGTAGATCAGATGTTCCTTGTTTTCTTAAAAGAGAACATCTATATCTGTTTTTCACCCATAATTAATACAAGAGGGTAATTTCCCCCCCCCCTAAACACTATAAGGCAAATGTGAACTCATTGATCATTCTAAAAAAAAAACAGATAATTTAAGTTCTATTCTGATGGCTTAGCTAAAAACAAAGCGGCCCACGAAGCAGGCACCACGGTCTAGTTTATGACAGCAATAATCAGGTTTTTAAAAAAATTATTATTACATGCCTTTACAATTTTTCCTTCCTGATATTAATAGTAAATGCTCAAATATTCCATGTAGGTAACTGCTGGGCTGGAAAAAGAAAGAAACTCTAATGCAAGTATTTATACCTTCCACAATGAAAACAAGATATTATTGCGTTGCATGACCTTTCCTAAGTATGGAATATAGCATTTTACACAATAGTTTCTTGGTTCATGCTTCAATTACTGACCTTTACTGTGAAGGAAATTAATGCAATCTTCATTGTAATCCATCCGTACAAATAAGGCTCACAAAGAAGGGTTTCACATATGAAATCTAGTACACATAGGCGATGTCACCTGATTGCTGCCGGCTGAACTCGGTCATTATCTGTGTTCTGGGGTGCTCGCAAACTATACTTGTAACAGCCGGTTTCTCGTGGGACCCATCAGGTATCAGAAAGAAGAAAATGTTCCTCTCTTCCAAGTTTAATTTGTACATTTAGTTTCCTGAAGGCCAAAGAATGGTCACCTGAAAGTTCTATGTTATCACTGAGAACCCAGGAAAGAAAGGCAGGCAAAATTGTGCAGACTGATTTGGTTTCTAATACAGGTCACTGCCATGGGCTTTGAACAATGAGAAGGGGGCGAGAGGCTACAATGATGTCATTTTACAACAATCCCTGCTGCAGACAATGAAGTATGACGGACCGCAGACCTCGTCCTGGTCTGTGCCTGGGAGACAGGCAGAATACGGGACGGTGTCCAGCTCCTGAGAAATCTGCTCCGAGGGGGCTGGTGGGCTTTCATCTCCCCGGTTGTCTGTGGTGGTGTTTGGTGGGAAGGGGTGCTGGCAATTAAGGAGTGTCACTCTCAAGATGGATAGTTTGGGGAGAAAGGAGTTGCCTCTCTTCTTCTAGTTTGGAAGGAAACGGCTGTGTGTTTATAATTTGTAAACAGTTCCTGTCTCGCTGGGTGTGTTACAGTTCCCAGAAGCATGGCCTGTCATATCTAACATGCACCAGGAGCCAGAAGGGCCGTGCGGGTAAGCCCGTGACACAGCACACCACGGAGGGTGGCATTTCGGGGCCTGGGGGTGCAGTCTATGACGAGCACAGCTCACTTGTGGGGGCTGCTATCCATGGGGAGGGAATAACAGATTGTAACATGTACGCGGACGAGGTGTGCTCCCGAGGTCGTTAGTTGAACATCACTTTGGTTACAAGTCCCTTACAGAAGGGAGGGTGGAAGACAGTCTCGCCAAACAATAGAAGGGTTGCATTAAGCAGAACAGGCCTGAACAGAAGTCACATTTTCATGTTTGACGTAGTCTTCCAGAACAGCGGTTCTCAACCTGTGGGTCGCAACCCCTTCGGGGGTCGAACGACCCTTTCACAGGGGCCGCCTAAGACCATCGGAAAACACATATTCCCGGTGGTCTTAGGAACAGAGACACCGCTCCTATATCTGTCTCCAGGCGGGTGCGCCCATGTGCAGGTGGCCCCGGACAACACGAGGAGCTGTATTAAAGGGTCGCGGCATTAGGGAGGGTGAGAACACCTGCTCTAGAATATTTCACAGAAATGTAACAGCGAGGAAGAAAACAAACATGGCCATGCTGACGCTGTCGAAGGTCCTGTGACAATACTGCAATTACAGCATCTCACGGACACAGCTGCCCAGGAGGAAGTGGGGAGAGGCCCAGAACCAGTGGCCTCCGTGTGGGGTGAGCTGCTGCTGGCCTGTGGCGTCCCAGCCCAACCAGCCACGCTTGGGTGGACGGAACAGCTCCCGGCTCCTCGTGTAGAGGCTGTGGTTCCGCCCCAGTCATCCGCGCCTCAGAAGGCTTGAAGCACAGCCCGAGTGGCCCTACAGCCAGACCCCGAGATGGCCCCTGAGACACCTCAGTGTAAGGTTAGACCTTGACCACCCCTGGGCTAGAGTCCATGGGCTAATGTTGTTGCCTGTCAACTTACTGAGCCCCCATTGTTCATTCACTGTCTTTCTTCCTGTTAGATGCTCTCCTCTACCAGATGGGCCAAGGCCGCGTGGTCACAATGATCTCTAAAGGGCAGGTTACTACCCCATCCATGGGTGGCTGGCTTACAAAGGGCCGGCCAAACAGAAAGGAGTCTTCCTCACTTCCAAGCCTTGGTTTACACAACGTCATTAAGACTTGTGTTTGATTGGTAAACCATCCCCTCGTTCACTTTGGCTTGCCTGTGACTTCGAATGTGCAAGCCGTGATGTCACTCGGGGGCCACCCATATCAATTCATCAAGAAGAAAGCATCCGTGTGCCCTTTCTTCTGAAGAAAGGTGATTCACTTGTCTAAAATAGTTCGCTCCTCTATTATTTTGCAGAAAATGAGCTTTTTTTTTTATAACACGACAGAGCAGATTTACTTTGTAATCCCCTCAGTTTGCTACAAATGGGCAGAACCATCTGGCTCTCTTGATTCATTTTAAGGCTCTTTGAATTCATTTCTAGTTCCTGGGCACTTTATATCGGCTACGGAGTCCTTCCCCCCTTGCCCTTTTCCTCCCCAAGCATCCTACGCACTACGATCGCGCCGCGTGGACTACAGGTTCGGAGGGACTGGAAGCCCATTAGGCTGGTAGCGACGCATTTGGCATTGCACTGTTTTTCATTTTATTCCAGAAGGTTTGTCTGAAAGCGTAATGACAACGAAAGCAACAGACTTGCGAGAGTCTCCCAGGAGAGGGGAAAGGACAGATGTACGCAGACGTATAGTGGAAGCATTGCCAGCAACAGCTGGGGAGGTGACAGGCTCTGGGGTGGGTGACCACCCCACAGCGTGCAGACACGGACCCAGAGGAGGACACTTCCAGTCGATTTGCTTGTGACTTCAGCTGGCGGCCGTCTACCCTGCGTGCCCCACGGAGAAGGTGAACATATATATATATATATCTTCAAAAGGGATATTCTTTGTAAATTACAAAAATATAAATATACTGGTCACTCGATAGTACCGAAAAATAGCACTGGACTCAACCAGGAAGAAAGCAATCAGCTAAACACATGAACGCCCCCCTTTCGTGTGTTTTCTTGGGCACACTCACCTTGTCATCTTCCTCCTCCTCATCATCTAAGTCTGTGCTCTCCTGCAAGGAAGACCACAATGTGTTAATGAAACATCAGCGGAAATCACCAAATGCAAACTAAACTCATTCACATTAAAAAAAAGAAAAAAAATTTTTTTCTTTAAAATTTAAGCACTAGTATATTTAAAATACAATGTTTTTAAATACTCTTAAAAAGAATGCTTTGGAAGTTCAGGGACACCGCGGCAGAAGTATATAAACAGTATGCATCATCTCCATAAAACTTCACTATAAATATAGCTATTAGGCAAGTGCCCTTTGAACACGTCCAGCTTTGAGAACGCATTGCTGAGTTGTACTTTCTGTAAACAGTTTTGTTCTTGTTCTGACAAATGAACCGACTGCTACGTTAAGGCTGAGACTACCACACTCCGTTTGTGCGCGGCTCATTGTTATAATGATTTCTCTTTTCCTTTGGGGCCATTACTGAAACATTAGACAGTAGAACTGCATTAGTCTGAATGTAATCAATCTCAAGAATAAGTTACAGGTTTCTATACGGTATTATTGTTTTGCCTGGGCTTTGGGTTTGGGCGGCGAACAGGTGAGGGAAGGAAACAGCCCTGATCTGAACTACCGAGCGCCTGGCTTTAATTCAGGGGTCACAGCACCAGCTGTAATGCCAACAGGTTGGTTCGGATGAGTTTTAGGCTCTTGTCTATCTCATAGGGACATTTCAATCATATCACCGCAATATTTTATTTTTTTAAATATGTTTTTATTGATTTTTTTTTTTTTACAGAGAGAGGAAGGGAGAGAGAGAGAGTGAAACATTGATGTGAGAGAGAAACATCAATCAGCTGCCTCCTGCATGCCCCCTACTGGGGATCCAGCCCACAACCCAGGCATGTGCCCTGATGGGGAATTGAACTGGGACCTCTCAGTCCATGGGACGATGTTCAATCCACTGAGTCACACCGGCTGGGCTCACTGCAATATTTTAAAGGTAACAGATATTGGTTCACAATCAAATGGGTTCAGTAGTTCACAAAGTATGCTGGATATTAGAAAAACAGGAGCTATTTTCAGCTTGAACACTTACCTTTCCACTTAACCTTGCAAAGGGCAGGAATGCTGTCACTGTTCTCATGGAAAAAACACTTGTCAATATCATGCCCTTAAAAGCCAGTAGCTCTGAAGTACCCAGAGAGTACTCTGCTATGCTCCATAAAGCCACCGAGTAGTCATCAAACAGTTTCTCCAGGGCTGGTGATACACTACCTCCCAGAACCCCATGAGCTTCAACTAGCAGGTGGAATGACACTCCGTGATGCTGGAGAACTCACCCCTTCGCCACTGGCTGCAAGCAGCTGTCACGAAGGCAAATGGATAAAAACAAATAGAATCGCCTTAGCCGGTTTGGCTCAGCGGTTAGAGCATCGGCCTGCGGACCAATGAGTCATGGGTTCGATTCCGGCCAAGGGCACGTACCTCAGTTGTGGTTTGTTCCCGGCCTTGGGTCAGGGTTGTGTGGGAGGCAACCAGTTGATGTGCCCCTCTCACGTCAGTGTCTGTCTGTCTGTGTCTGTCTGTCTCTCTCTCTCTCTCTCTCTTTCCCTCTCTCCCTCCCTTCTACTCTATCTGAACATAAATAGAAAAATATCCATGGGTGAGGTGAGAATTTATTAAAAAAAACAATATAATGAAAACATGTTTTGGGAGACGAAACATTGTGATTAGGACTTAGAAGCCATCAGCTCAAGACACTTCCAACACCTTTTGCTGTGTGACTTTGAGCAAATCACTTTGCCATTCTGGGCCTTAATTTTATCGAGCGTAAAATGAAAATAGCAATTCTTGCCTCCATCATGGTGGTGTTAGCAAGATTCAATTAGGTAATGAATTTGAAAATGTTTTATATATTTAAAAGTTTTTATATACACATATACATTTACATGTACATATATATGTCAGTATACTCATGTATCCATGTTTATGTCTATATACAAATATATATACATATACATGCTATAAACATACACATCATATATACTGCTAGAAAAATAAAATCTGAATGAAGATGGTAAAAATGTTAGTTGACATTTTTATTATAGATGTTTCTTGGTGAAATTTCCCCTCATCTTTATCTCTTTGAATCTTAGTTCTTAAAAGAACCTGTAATTTAAAGCTATTTATTTATTAGATGGTTCATTACTGATACACACCCTTGTCTACTCCATTAATCAAACTCAGACAGAACAGAATTTTGAATTTGCTTGTGGCTTTACTCCCTGCCAAAAAAACTCTTTCCCTGTGTCCCCTGTATCCCTAAGAATGCCGGAAGTATTCCTTTACTATCCGTTACTTCGGTGACGATTTTTTTAAAAATAATGAGAACATTATAAAGGAAAAATTGGGAAGATGGTCACCTTTGGAGTCTAAAAAAAAAAAAAACAATACCCAATGGGAAGCTGCTCTATTACCAAGTCGCAAAACCTTAGATTTTTGTTTAAAAAGCTGGGGTTTTGAGTCTGGGATGCCGAGATTATATCCTAAAGGAAGCCTATCAGTGTGAGTTCCTGTTCACGTGGGGCAGGAGGACATCCCTGGGCTGGGAGAAGGGGACCCAGGGAGAAGGGATGGAACAGAAGGAAAAGAAGTGGGGGGAGGAGGTGTTTGAGAAGGTCTTTCTGGGGCTTCGGCAAGCCTCCGAGAGTCCCCTGAGCTTTCGGGCCAGATGCAAACGTGGCACTGGGTGCCGGGTGGAGAGGCTGGTGGCAACCTTCTGGATGTTCTGGGTCCCACCAAAGACTTTTTCCAGTGGGTGAGAGTGTCCTTCTCAGTAACCTTATGGAGTACCAGACGTGCACACAGACACTCGCTGTGGGCGTGGAAAAGGTGACCAAGAACCAGAGAGGTGGCCCGGCTCTGAAAAACAATAGGCCAAGAGACAGAAACAAGACGCTGTACAAGGAAGCCCCGGATTACAGCTGATGTCGGATCTCGTCCATAACGTGGACATATGAGCAGGGTGGCTCAAGCCAAATGGACTTGGGCCCTGATTTGGTGCCGGGGGTGCTGTTTATTGTTGGTAACACATTCGGCTCTAGTCAAACATCAGGAGTATTGGAATCGTCGCTCACCTGGCTGTCCTGGAGGCTGCCGACCTTCCCTTTCGTGGGTCTGACGAAATTATACACGAAGAGCAGCAACAGTGCCAGGGGAATCATGTACAGTTCGAAGTTCCAGACAGTGACCAAAAACACCTGATTGGAGACAAGAGTACATCCCTGCTTGAGAAAACAGTATGGGAACATTCTTAAATTCCTCCTCATTGACTTCCAGAAATTAAAGCAAGGACTCTACAGTAGGTTTTACAAAGTTATAAACAAGTTAGCATGCATGCGCGCACACACATGCACACACACGCACGCACGCACGCACACACACACATGCAATGATTAACACAGTTTTAGAACTGGTAGAAAGAGGAAGAAATGAATTGGCCAGTCACCCTCTGGAATAGACACAGAGTTCCGTACCTGGAAATCCCATTATCCTATCAGACCTATTCAGTGTCTTGCTCCTGGAGTTGTTGTACCAGAATGGAGGTAAAGTTGTATGCGGAAGTCCAAGGTCTCAAAGAGGCAGATCACACACCAAATTTTACCAACAGTAAAGTTTATTTCAACTGGAGAGATTATTTTTAAAATTGTCTGTCAAGGGCTGGCTGGTTTGGCTCAGTGGTTAAAGCGTCCGCCCACAGACCAGAGAGTCTTGGGTTCAAATCCCAGTCAAGGGCATGTACCGAGGTTGTAGGTTTGATCCCCAGTCAGGGTCGGGCAGGAGGCAATTAATTGATGTGTCTCTCTCACATCGATTTCTCTTTCTCCCTCCCACTCTATCTAAAAAAAAAAATTTTTTTTAAATAGAAAAATATCCTCTGGTGAGGATTAAGAAATAATAATAATAAAACTGGCTGCCAATGTCAAAATCCACATATTTCAGATTTTTAAAAAATCATATTTCCAAATTCTCTTTAAAAAGCTTAAAATCTTCCCATTTGGAGGCTAGATGCTCCGAAGAAAATGAAGGGCTAGAAATGCCCACATCAGACAAGGTATGCCCATAACCTGCCCAATGTCTATCAGCCTTTGAATCTGTGACCCCTACCATAAAAAGGACAAACAAGAGCTTGGGTTTGAACCCAAGCATCTCTGTCACAATGGTCACAGGAGACATGGATGCAAATAAGACATGGCTCTACTTCCCAGTCACACCCTCATTAGTAGGACAAAGAAGAAAAGAACACATGGCAATCACTTCATGAGGGGAGTGAAATCTTGGGCACATTATTTCAAGACGTATGTCTCACTCTCTTTTCAAACTCACAGGTCGTCCAGATATGAAATAAGATAACTCGTGGTTATCAGCTGTCAGCTCCTAAGTGCTGAAAAAAATCACTCTTGTAACTTACAAACTTCGAGGAGGCAAATTATTGCATCTGAAATAGTGACCCTTCCTCTCCCACAGAAGTGTTCTTTTACCAATTACTAAAAATGTTTTCAACCATTTAAAACAATTCTGTGGGTATTATATATTGATTGTTTATTTTTTGGTTGCTATTGTACATTTAATAATTTATTTCATAATATTTTTTTCAAATGGGTAACTGTTGGCTTATAAGAGCTAATAATTTGTATATAGTGTTTTTTTTTAGTTAGTAACTTCACTGAATTTTCTTATCGTTTCAAATAGCTTTTCATTTCATTGTTTTGGTTTTCTTTAGAGTCATGTAATCTACATAATCTGCTTCTGTTTCCTCTTTTCTACTACCTGCAACTTGCTTTTTTATTCTTAATTTTATCACTACTAACAAAGCAATGTTAAATAAAACTGTTGAGAGGGATATCATGGTCTAATCCCTGAATTTAATTAAAATACTTCTAGCGCCCATTTTGAATACATACATAACTTTCTCACTAGTAAGAAAGTATAACAAGACACCAAGTTCAATGATGTGGCTATTTCCCCAAACACCTTGGGATCTGGATAACTCTCAAACAAACAAAAAACCAACTCTGTCAAGTCGTATCACTTAATACATTGTTTCCTCAACTAATCCAAGAATAGGAGATAGTTTCTTTTCTTTTATGACATGTATCAGCCTGATAATTTTACATCTGTTTCAGAATGTTGGCCACTGCCAAGACAACCAACCCAAATGCCCTGGGGGTACAGGAAGTGCAGAGTCAGCAACATCATGCTCCTTAAAGCAGATGAATGACTGTGTCCAAGTCAAGTGGACAGGGATACAGGCAGAAAGAACACCACTTGGAAGATGACGTTTGTCTGGTCTCTGTTTCACCAGTTATTTCTGCAGAAAAGCGCTCACCTATTCATTGGATCAATGAGAAGATGTTGACTCAGTTATCACTTTGGTTGGCCTGATGCTGGACAAAGGCGGAGCTTAGAGTAGACAGCAGTTTTGTAGGAGAAAGAAAACTATAACCAAATGCATGACAATGGTAAAAATTTAAAAGGCTTCTCATGCCTGGAGATAGTAAAACCTCCCACAGAGCTGGATCCCGGAGGGATGGGGCTGGAGATGAGGTCGGGAACTAAGTGGGGTTCAGTTAGTGGAAAGACCTATATATTATTGTAGTCCGTTGAAGACATAACTGAAAATGAAATAGGAAGTCATTTATGGGTTGTTTTTTGTTTTTTGTTTTATCCTCACCCGAGGACATTTTTTGATATTTTGTTCAGATAGAGTGGGAGGGAGAGAGAGAGAGAAACATTGATGTGAAAGGGACACATCGAGTGGTCACCACCCACACAACCCAACCAGGGCCGGGGACAAACTGCAACCGAGGTACGTGCCCTTAGTGGGAACCGAACCCCGGTCTCTCCGGACCGCAGGCCAACGCTCTAACCGCTGAGCCAAACCGGCCCGGGCCATTTGTGGGTTTTTAAACAGAGGAATAATAGGATACGATACTTGACTAGACAATTCTGGTAGCAAAGTGCCTGTATTTTATGGGTAACGGGTAAGGAAATGAGAAACTGAGAAAAAGTTTAGAAAGAAACTCCAATAGTCCAGAAGAAAGCACAAGGCTACTTTTGGCTGGGAGGCTAAGGGATGTTTTACAGAAAAGATAGGTTTATGTTGGTTCTTTAAACGTGGTGGAGGTTTATTAATTGTGTGGAGTCATGCAGGGAAATACCCTGGATTTCTAAGTTCCATTGCAAAGGGGAACTAAGCTTACAGATCTGATAGGAGTCTGATCATCATGGGTTACCTTGTTGAATCCAGTATAATCACAGGGTCCTTAAAAGTGAAAGACAGTCAGAGAAAGTAGCGAGGGAGGAGCAAGGCCAGGTGATGCCCTGTGAGAACCCAGCAGTGTGCCCTTGCTGGATGTGAGCATGCAGAAAGGGGCCGTGCTCTGGCCGGTTTGGCTCAGCGGTTAGAGCGCCGGCCTGTGGTCCAGAGAGACCCGGGTTCAGTTCCCGCTAAGGGCATGTACCTCGGTTGCAGTTTGTCCCCGGCCCTGGTTGGGTCGTGCAGATGGCAGTCACTCAATGTGTCCCTTTCACCTCGATGTTTCTCTCTCTCTCTTCCTCTCTCTCCCTCCCGCTCTATCTGAACAAAAAAAAGGAAAAATGTGAGGATAAAAAAAATAGAAGAAAGGAGCCATGAGCCAAGGCATGTGGGTAGCCATTAGGAGCTGGAACAGGAAAAGAAACAGATTCTCCCAGCAGAGTGAAACACAGCCCTGTGACACCTTGATGTGGCCCAGGGAGACCTGCGGTAGACGCTTGCCCTCCAGACCTGTAAGGTAATACATCTGTGTGGTCTTAGACCACTTACATGTAAGCAATTTGTTACAAGAGCAACAGAAATCTAATAAAGGCGTACAATGTAAAAGGGGTGAACTCACGGAGGGAATAACAAGAGGCCCAGTCTCCCGCTAGACAGAAGTACGGGAATGCAGACAACAGTCATGGAGAAAAGACTTTGGCAACCTCAAGTCCGATCAAGCCCCGAACTGAAATGCCTATTCCTGTCCTCACACACTTTTCTCTCCTTCCTCCAATAAAACCTTCATATTTCAGCCTGCTCCTTGAAGTCATGTTCTGGTTGCCATGATATATAATTTTCAAACTGTCTGTCTTCTTGAGATCCAGGTGCATAGAAATATACCATTTCTGGTGTTTATTTGGCATTGTCTCTGACCATTTCTCCATGGCACAAAATGCCCTGGTCAGTTCACGAGGACGGGGGGTGAGGGGGTGGGGGTGCCTTCCCTGGTCTCTTACAGAAAAACTCCACCCACAAGCTCTAGCTCTGTGTGGGAATGACCCAGCTGGTAGTTTATTCCAACTGCTTTTGCAGAAAGACACCTGGATTATGTGTTTTTTTTTAATTTTTATTATACACTATGACTTTAAATAAATAACATACACAATTTTCAAACTGCCGGTTTCACAATAACACTATAGTGAATAGCTCTATGAAGAATGTAGCTGATTCCATTGTGATTTTAGAGGAAGGGCACATAAGTCTAATATTAAATTCTGATATTAAATACAAATTAACATTAGAGACTTTTAGACTACATTCTTCTAGAGATGGAGTTTTTGTTCACTTTTATTTTCCCCTTTTGAATATTCTATAGGGTACTTTAAAAAACAGAAAAAATGGCCCTGGCCGGTTTGGCTCAGTGGTTAGAGCATCGGCCTGCGGTCCAGAAACCTGGGTTCGGTTCTCACTAGGGGCATATACCTCGGTTGCAGTTTGTCCCCGGCCCTGGTTGGTCGTGCGGGTGACAGCCACTAGATGTGTCCCTTTCACGTCGATGTTTCTCTCTCTCTCTCTTCCTCTCTCTCCCTCCCACTCTATCTGAACAAAAGAATGGAAAAATGTCCTCGGGTGAGGATAAAAACAAAACAAAACAAAACAAAAAAAACAGAAAAAATGCTTCTGACCTGTATTTATACACAAGCTTCTTACTAAGTACATAATCTTTATTCTCTATTTAATGTGAAATATTTATTAAAATCCCATGATTTGCACCCGGCCAGTGTGGCTCAGTGGTTGAGCATCAACTCATGCACCAAGAGGTCGCCAGTTTGATTCCCAGTCAGGGCACATGCCCAGGTTGTGGGCCCAAGCCCCATTGGGGGGCATGCAGGAGGCGGCAAGTCGATGTTCTCTCTCATCAATGTTTCTCTCTCCCTCTCCCACCCTCTCTCTCTAGAA